GGACTCCTCCCCCCTCCCTCCGTTAGCCGACGGAGCCACTTGGGGAAGAGGGGAGGAGTCCGGTGACTTCGATGTCTGTGACGTCACCGGATCTCCGACGGGACTCCCGGAAGCCGGCGGAGAGGTGAGGGTTTTAATTTTTGATCAAAATTATTTTAATCGATCAAAAAGTTTAACGATTAATCGAGAAATTAATCGTTAATTTCCGCAGCCCTACTTTGTAGCAAGAGCTCAGTGCCTTTTCTTTACAGTTAAACTCCAATTAAAAAGTTAAGTACACAGATGAAATACAAATACCTGTTTATGCTACCAAAGGAATTTTATTTTTGCCCATGTATTCCTGAGATTAGCATAGTCCCCTCCTGCAGCACAGCCAGATGGACAATACCACTTGGTGCCCATTCATGCAATGTAAGAAAATGCATGACACACTTGCAGCGCCATTACTTTGGTAATGGCATCCCAAATGCAGCAAACATGCAAAAAGCCACAGGAAGATTGCAGCTCAAACTGCTGCATGAGTTTCTTTGCCCCGTTTCTCGCATGCAGGGAAGCCCATTTATATGACTGGGCTCACATTTGGCAAAACCAGCATATAAGCGATGCATGATCACAGCTGCCGCAAGTGTCAACGGGGCCTTACAGTTGAGGAATAGAGCAATGTCCTCTCTCCAACCCTTGACTGCTGACTGGACAAGAAAAAGCAGCATCAGAGTGATCAAGGCATCCATCTGCTCACTCTGTTCACTCTTCCTATCAGCATGTTCCCCGTCAACACATTTGTATGAACCCATCTCATGGGCACCTAGTCAACCTCTCCCTCTCAAAGTCTGGGTACTGTTGTACAGGAGATTGCAATGGGCTACGGTCATGTCAAATTAAGGTACTTACACTATTTTATTGTAGATTTAAAAAAATACCATATATTGTAAGCAGGGCAGGGAATGATGTGAATGTGCACTGTGTAAAGCGTCGCATAAATTGTTGGCGCTCTATAAATACCAATTATAATAAATATTTGTGTCTTTTATATCTGCCTCAAGTTCAGCTTTCATTTCTGTGCCAGCAGTCCTACACTAGTATAGAAAATTCTGGGTATGCTTTTTGGACTTTGAGGAGTTCATATGTTTTTCTTTTGTATGATTTTCTGCCACAGCCCAAAAATGTGATGGTAGGACAATTGGCTTTGACTTTATATAGTTCTAGTGTGTTCCTATGTGTATGCGTGCAGATGGGAAATTAGACTGTAAGTTCCCCTGAGGTGGGGAGCATTGGTTCATATACTGCTAAAACTGATATAGTATGAACTTAGAAGACAAATGCATAAATATTAGAGCAGCTCTGCATTATTGCTGGGCACTGCGGAGACACTGAGCTCTCTAGTGATCAGTATAGCACACACAAAGAATAGCCAGACTACACTAAAGTAAAGTTACATCTGCTGGTCAGAGTTTTCAAAGAGCCCTGGCATGCCTTGTTTGTGACAACAGCCAGTGCCAGTTGGTAGAGCAGCCTGGGTGGAGTGCAGTTTTCTAGTTTATGTCAAGTAACATCAGACACACAATAAATGAAACACCTAAAAGTCACATCATTATTTAAATCTCATTCAGATGAGCCAACTCTTACAGAAAGGACCGCCAAAGTAATTTACCCCAGAA